CCCCTAGCACCGTCGTTTTGGTTAAATAACAAGGCATACTCAAGCACTCGATGAGGGACTTAATGATCCCTTAAGAATTACCTACTGGTTCATCTATACTCGACAGGGTGTAATTCCTAATAGTTAGTTATTCTGGAACATTTACAAGCTAACCCATGAGTACAGTAGAAGTTCTAGATTCCTTAACACATTTGTTAATTTTTCATAACAAAACAAAACAAAAAAAGTGAGTATACCTTCGAAAATGAACTAAGTCAGAACCGAAAGGTTGGTTCCGTTTATCAGTATGACATAATGAACCAGTCTTCATCGCGTTTTCATATCAAAAGATGACACAATAATTGCAATGGTAATGAAAAACGTGACTGCAGATTTCATAAAAAAATGAACACTACTGCAATAATGGAACTGAGGTTCTCAGTCATAAATCATACTACGGATATCATCTAAACCAACGGATATACCATCCTCTTCAAGGAAAAACCGGAGGAAGTTCATAAACCAATTTTCAATGGCAAATTCATAAAAAATACTTTGGGAAATCAGTTGGACACAACTCATCCATCCAACTACTTACGCCATACCTTAGGCTGTGCTCTCCAGTCGAAGAGACGCGCGTCATTTATCACCTAGACTGTCTGTTATTCTGTGCCGGTTTCATTTTAAATTGCGTCACATACACAAGAGAATAATTCATTTTTGTTTTCATCAATCATGCATTATTAAGGATGAACGCACCACTGAAAACCATGTAAGTGCATTTTCATCCAGATCGGTAAGGAAATATTTGCTGAACTTACTGTGCATCTAGCCTGGAACGCTCAAAACTCGAGAGCTTGTGTACGAGTCACACAAGTCAGTGAAGCCAGGCTATCAGCTTAATCGGCAGAAGGTTTACTTCATTCCAAGCTTTCATGATATCGCAGAATTTTCCATCGATGGCTTTGAATGGCCACTGTGTGTAGTCTGAACAGCAAACGAATACGATGGTTTACAGATTTTCCGTAGGGGCCGCAGTACATAAGGCTACATTATCGAACGAAGCTTTACTTATCAACCTGTATGCATAGCAGCATATTTATCTGTATACGAGATATTTTATTACCCAATATGTGTATCCGACAAGCAAAAAATACTCACTTACCAGTTAATACGTCTCCCATTCCCCTTCCTTGACACGATTTAGAGTCATTCATTCTGTCGCATAATTATCCGAGCTGGCTCCAACCAACTTTTAGCACTAAAGTGGCAATTTATTATCGACTTATGAAAGGCTCACGAGAAGGAAGCTGTTGAAGTGTTTGAAATACATGACCTTAAAAGCAAGGTCAAATGAAGGCCGTCCGTCAAACTTTTAGTTTGTTTTAGTGATGACGGTGAGATGCTCATTCATGACAAGACTTTTTCATCACGCTAGTAAAAAGTGAAATTGTAATGATGCTTTTTGTAGGCCTTTCAGTGAAAAGCTTTGTTCCCAACTGTCCCGTAGAAGAACAAGAGTTTTTTCGCATTGTTCATGTGCAAAATAGTATTACCACCAGATGCGGTGTGCAAAAATAACACAACAGACTCAGATACTGGTGTTCTTTGGGTTTTGATTAAAAAAACAGTCAGACTGCACGTATCCAAAAATGATTATTTCTGCGTAAATTCTGACAAGCTATTACGAAGAAGGATGAAAAACGTAAGCTGCATAATCTTTCGGCCAATCAGAAGCAAGTATTACACGCCCAAAAAAGGTGGTCAATTTTTGCAGTTGCAGAGAAAATCAAATTTCATCGCAATCATTTCGGCTTTCGATTCACTTCCCGTGCTCTTTAGTGAGTCCTGGGTTGATCGTACGAAATTCGAAATGAACCTCATCCCAGTGACTTCTATATTGTGAAACTCACTAGGCATGTTATTATGAAGTAGAATAAACTATGAATACCCAAGATGGTTATGTGTATTCTACGATCCTAGCGACAATGAAGAACAGATCGAAATGAAAAAATACATTTTTCTAGTCTGTCAAATTGAAACCTCTTCTAGGAGAACTGCTTTGCTACCAGGCAATCCTTTAGTGTATGCCTTCAATTAGAACGCTAATGTGATAACCGCAGAGGTATCGATTCGTCCGTAATATGCTTTTGTAGTAGCTGGACCGAGGATATTTTAAAGGCTTATTCACACTATTTGTCCCATAACGGCTCTGATATGATTTTGATAGCGGGTATTCTAAGTGTTAGCTAAATATGTTGATGCGCTTCCTTCAAAATGACATGAAACGTTTGTATTAGTTCGTATAGGTTTATGTCGAGGGCATATTGTTTCTAAAAACCACGCTTTCTCTTGATTTTGACAATACCTGAACTTGCCTCGATTATCCGTGGAGTGAAACAGTTGAAGTTCTAATGAAGTCAGTCAAAGTAACTTTTCTACTCATGAATAATAACATCATTGAAAAAGCGAATTTACCGGGGGTTGTGTGCCTACTCCAAACCCTGTTTTTTATCGAGTATACTATCTCCCTGTCTGCAGCATGATTCCCTCTTTAGTTATCCGGTGGTGGCCTCATGTTACCAGTCAGGACAAACCTCGGTTGAAGCAGGTGTGAGAAGCAGGGTTTCCCAGTTTGCATGTGATACTCTTTCTCATTGGGAATGTCTCCAATATATTCACTTAAAAAGCTAGAAGTATCATTTATACCAAAGTCATTCCGTGATTATTAGATGTACCTACTCGGGGAAATTCCCAAAATGTCATGGGTACTGCGTGTTATAGTGTTATTGTCGAACTATCAAAACCTCTCCGGAAAAGAGTTTTATGGATACGGATACTAAAACAAAAAGCAACTTTGCAATAGCAGAAATAACCAAGCGTGACGTCATTCACAGCACTAAATTTATCCGTACCCATTAAGCCTTTGCCATCTGGGAGAAAACTGGGGACCTGGCGAATTACGTGAGGCTCTCGAAATTTCCTCTTTTAGGAAATTTAAGGTTGCAAGAGATTTGGCTACAACTCGATGGTGATGACTCACGAATACGAAAGATACGGTGTCCACCCAAATGACAGTACCTGCTAGTATCTGGTTAGCGAAGCCCTTCTTGTAGTCAAACGTTACTGATCCAAATATTTACAATTGTTATTTTTCAAAAATGACAACCACGGCTCTTGGCAAATAGTCATTGGTCTTCACAAGGAATGCCCGTACTTCAACCGATTATCTATCAAATGGAATTCCTTCACTTGCTAACATATTCGAATGGGAAATAACCGATTTAAAAGGTAATTGGCTTTGTCACTGAAAGTCGTATTTACTGGCTTGTCAGAGTCTGAACTGACTGAAGCTCAGGAATGCCAGGAAAATCCCACAAGACAGAATAAACAGTATGACTTCCTCTTTCTCTGAACAAGACTGACGCTATTTACTTTCGGAAGAGACCCGCCTTATCCAGCTCCGATCACTCTATAGCCAAGGTTTCTCCTAAGATATATTCCACGTCACATAACGATACTCCGTCCTTAAACGGCAGTGTTTTGGGATATAATGCAATCCCGTAACGTAACATCACTTCGAGAATTCATTGGAGTAAAGACTTTAGTGGGTTTTACCACCGTGATTGTTCAATTTACTGTGATCGACCGGAAATTTACCTAATCTTTTTTACAATACTGCTATTCCACTAAACTATTTACGTCTGACCTACTGGTTGATCTTCACCTTATTTGAGATTATTTACATCAGAGAAAGAAGAGGCTTATATGAATTGACCGGAGGTAGTCCAACAGTCAGAACGGTGGGATTATAACATTTCTGTCTTGGGTTCGAATCCTCGTACTGACTTTGGTCACTCGGATGGCAGCCTTCAACTGGCAGCGATCCCTTTCCTGAAATATTGTACCATTGTAACACAATAAAAACAAATTAAATACAACCGGCTCACAATGGAATGAAATCTGAAATCAAACACAGACAAGCTTTATACAGAAATCTTACTTGGTAACTAAAGTGATTGCCGGGTTTGGCATATGATAAAAAGCTTTTCAACATTCTAAGGATTCGAAAACCGGGATTTATAAATCAATCAAATGATTTCCACTTTAATGAAACCCACTCTATCGGGAGCGAATTTGGGTTTTAGGCGTTGAGCATACTTGGATGCCTTTCTTGTCAATTCCAGCGAAGCGCTAAATGGACTGGACGACTCGGAACTGGGAACGCTTCGAAACTTGACGAAATTTAGCTCACCGTCCTCAAGGAGTGCGCTTCTTTTCTAACTGAACTCCTTTCATTATCTGTTAAAAAATGCACTAAGATGAGCAGGATTGCCAACAGCTCATCAGATCAATTATCAACTCAAAAATGTAACAGGTTCATGTCGCTCAGTGGCGTGTAATTTTGTTGTCCTCGAAGCTTTCTAAAAATTCGGTTACTTTTATGGTCAGCGAGTTCGGGCGGCGAAAAATGCACCAATGAGCATAATGTCGAGCATCCAACTCATAGGATGAATAAGATCACTTTAGAGGACTTTGACTTGAATGAAAATGGTGGAAAAGGTCATCATTCTGACCTTTACTTAAAGTTCACTGAGAAACTAGAAGCTCTCTTGGCATCGTCAATTATCACCCGCAGTGCAAAGGTACTTCGAACCAACGAGTTGTACAACAATGTGGTATATAGTTGAAACAGTTGGCTTACTAGCTACCTGGTTGGCCATCAACTGGATTTGAACCTGAATAAGTCACCAATCACTAATCAGCCGACGTCTGGGATAAAAGTCCCAGACAGGTTTTATCAAAGCTTAGACATTTCAAGTAGTCTTTCGTATAAAGGAGCACCTGACTTTATCTAGAATGAGCCGTTCTGTGACGTTCACTGTTAGACGCACTTAAATATTTGAAAAAAATAAGAAATAATGGCATTTTGAGCAAGGGATATATTATGAGAGATTTCATCATTGGTTCGTCGATCTTTCGCAAGTCTGGTAACTTCCATTTCGTACTTGAGATCGGAATTATGCTCTTCTGTATGGTTTTGCTCCTAGAAAGTTGCCTCTGCAAAAAGAAAAATATGCAGAATGTTGTTTTATTCAAATGTGACTCCAAGACTCGTTGCAAAAGATTGTTCTCGAAAGAGTTGATTGTAATTTCATTTGAGATCGTCCTTTGACATGTTGGGTTTTACGGATAAAAATAGATCATTACTTTGTTTTTCATTACCAAATGAATGAATGATATTTGTAAAAAAATCAAAAATAACTTCCATTTCCGAAATTTAAAAATATTGTTCACTTGGGTTGGGAACCTCGCAGAACCTCTGGGGCCTACTGTGTACGTGAATGATTCAGGTGTCACGCTCTGAAAATGGGGTATGGAATTCACTTGGGATCTCGAAGAGCACACTGTTTAGCACAACTGGCGCGGGGCCGTAAAGCCAATTTTTCTCCTCGAATGTCTCAAAATAACTGACCAGAGGTCACAAATAAAATTGGGATACCTTAAGATAACCTTTAAACAAGACTACTTTCATACTTCTATATTACTTGAGACTACTGAATTATTCTTTAAAAAGATGTTTTTGCAAAGAACTTGGGTGTTAGTCAAGGAATATCTGAAAGGGATGTATTCGAAAACCATAAGAAAATGCTACTTTTATGATGTCATAAAGTTGACAAATTTATAAACGATCTGTTGACCACAAAGTAAAACCTAAACGTCTGTTTGTAGACAGCGTACTATTTTTTTCAAATAGAGGTTGTTTAAAAAATAGAGTACGAGTTCAAAAATGGAGGAACTGATTACAAACTCATAGGCACGAGAGCTAAATTGGTGCGCAGAGTTCACGATCTGAGCGACATCAACCGAATCCGATTTGATCATCCTGACAGCGCTGCTTCTCCTCCCCACCCGAATCGCTAACCTGGGTGACATAATCGGTACTCACCGATCACGTCGAAATAGCTGAGGATTCAACATCTGCTATCTGGAAGTGCTGCTTTGTGATCAAAAGCCTATGAAAACCGTGGAATACATGATCACGGGTTCCGTGCTCGCTCGCGCATTTTTCAGGTCGTTCCCGAGAGCGCGTGTACCATTCACGCCAATACCGTGGTAAAAGTATCTCACAGATTGTTGGAACAAGGAAGTTGAAAAATGGACAGCATAGACTTTAAAACCTCATCACCACCGTCATTTGCTGATTTGGAAGGGTACTTTTATGAACCATCCCGGACAGCTTTTGCCAATTAGTGCGTACAAACTCCAGGGAGGCTGAGAACAGATGTGCGTGAATTCGTTGTTTTGCAAAAGGCTTCAATGACACTTAAACAAAAACAACGGAAAAATCATGCACGCCCAAAATGGATCTGACAAATTACGGGAATCTCAAAACAAGTCTAATCTTCTATACCGAAAGGCAGTAACTTTAAAATGAAAAGTGAATCTGATAGTGTGGGCAATTCACAAAAACTGGTGCTCATAAGCTAGCAAATGACCAGCCTAGACCGTGTCACCCACAGCCATATTACAAGTAAATTATTAAGATGCCTCAATCTTAAAACCGTAGAAGCGCAGTAAAATATAAAGTGAGTTGATGTCAATAGAAGTACATGCGTAACACCAGCTTGCCACGAACGACACTGTCGAGCGGGTTCGAACTTTTTTATTTTTACAGTCAAGATGTGATATCTGGATGAGAAGATCAGTACTCTTTACAGAACGGGAGCACCTGTATCATTATTTTTAAAAAAGGTATTGGGCACGTGTCATTCACGATTCTCATTATGATAAATACTCCATTATTATATTCCCTATTATTAGTGACCAAAAATCAGGCATTTGAAAACATTATTTAGCAATCGCAGGATTTGTGTTTGATTCGCTTGACTAAATTTTTTTGGTGTACTTCCAACTTTCTTTTCAGGCAATAATTTTACTATCATTTCTAAGTAGAACGACAGAATCACATTTTTGTGCCAAACGAAAAGTGCAGTGTCTTTTCCCTTTATGAGCGATTTTTATGATAAAAATAAAAATACGCCACTGTTCTACTTCATATTTACCTGAAAGAATTGGCAATAACCAACTCGGTATAAACGAGGCTCTACGAATTTTGGAAAATATTCCTGAGTGTCTGTCAAAATATATGAAGCAAGTAAAATTTCGCGATAACCTTGGACAAAAGCCAAGTGCATCGCATGTGAACCTTCGACCGATAGTTAAAAACGGAAGTAATCCTATGTTCCGGTTTAAACCATTGGTAAGTAGGTGAAATAGGAACAGGTTTGGACATAGCTGAGGTTTGAAAACTGGGCAAGGTAACAGCATTTCTGGAGTATAAAATCAGTGAAACATGCCCCTTTATTGCAGTTTTCAACAGAGTTTTAATCAAATATCAGTTCTTTTGTAGCGTTTCTCATAGCAAACATTTGAAGCAATGATAATATCTTCCATTATTTGTCTTATTCCTCTACTCCAAATTTCCCCTTCCGAATGGGTTCTTGGGCGTGGAAAACGGTAGGTTTCACAGTAATACAGGGCTCTGTGTTTTTGGACTAGTTAAAAAGCTTTGAGAACACACAATAGATTGTGGATAATCAGACACGTAAGGTTGCACAATAAAGTCATGGACTGTTTATTGATTTGGTTCTGATAAAAGTAACCTGCCTGACACACCTGGCTTCAAAATTTGACTAGGGAGGGCAAACTGTGAAGCACCATGAGGATTATTTTCCCTCATTGCTGCTTCTGCGGATACCGAATGATTTGGGCACCAACAAATATTGTTAATATTGAGCTTTTATATTTCTTAGATAAAGCTGCCACCGCGTTTTGCTTGACTTGCTTCCGTTTTTCTCTGCCGTTTATTACTTGATTTGCTCGATGAACACATCGGGCAGTACAACAGGCTTAGTGTTGCCATAAAATGGACAAGCGAAACATGATACACTGTACAGCAACTCCTTACTACTATTAGCAAACATTTATAATCCCCTATCAGAGAAGCAAGCGCAAAATTTCCATTCTTTGCTCAGAGTAATAGAAATGCAATACTGTGGTCAATATGGTGCCACAGACTAATTGTAGGTACTCAAAACCCGTCGCGCTACTGGTTGAAAATTATTGCAGAGATCTGTTGTTCCCAAATCATTTGGTTTTCTGTAAGGTAAATTACGCAATAAACATATTCTGAAGATTTGTAACATCCACCGTGTAAAGTAGGTTTCAATTCCGGGTCTCATGGAATACACAGATAAATTAACAGAGTACTTGAAGGGTGAAACGTTGTCTGCCTTGTTAGTTGATTTCGCGTGGTGCGTATATATAATATATAATACGTAATATATATGTACATATATCTATCGTCCTTTCAGAACACGTGTACTACTTACAGGAAAAATTATCAATGACATCATTATTCGCTTCATAATTTGACTACAGTTTTCCTAATCGTAAAGTTTCCGACCTAACCTGTTAGAGTTCTGTGTAGTACAAATTAATTCCAAAGAATTCCAAAATTCGCGTGCTAGATTTTCCTTGTTACTATTGGTGATCTTGAAGTGGTATTTTCCCCCTAGATTGATTATAGTTCGTTAACTACGCTCCGATAACCGTGACTAATACTGATTGCAAAAATGAATCTGACCTAGATCTAAAGCATTTACTATTGAATAGTCTATGGTAGAAATTGGTCGAACGTTTAGTCAAGGTGACCGGGCGATGTTAGGGGTCACTGCTTGTAATACCAATTTGACCACCACACTTCCATTATCGGTAGCTTTAACTGACCACTGCATCAATGAAATATAAAAAGCCCTTTGCCTTATGTAAACCAAGGGGTGCCCAAGTTTCTGATCTGGTTAAGGAGGCTCACTTCTGTCACTATCCAGTTGATTAGAACTTCGATAAAACTGGTTCCTACAAGATACTCTTACAACATGTTTTATAACTATTTCTTTTCTGAAAAAGCAAAAAATTGAGACATTTAAAGCGTGAAACCCATTTTTGTACACTTTGTCAGTATTTCCATAACAGGAATTTCCTAAAGCTTTAAATAACTTTACCATACTTCTGTTTTGTTTCACCGTCTTCAGTGGGTTTCGCTTATACACTGGTGGGAAACTTAAATCTTATTCTGAGTGGTTCACTGCATACGATATCAAGAAAAAAACTTGATGCTACATAACTGTGTTTGTGAAAAATATTGCCTAATCCGTGCGATAACGCAATGGAAATAGCCCTCAAGGATGACTGGAAACGAAGCTACATCAGGTCATCATGACTGATGTGTGGTTACGCGTCTATCGACTGACGAGTGTTATCCGCCACCGTTTTGACCGACGCTGTTCAGATTCCGACCGTCGAAGCTACAATGGATCTTAAGAATAAAGTGAGTCCGTCAGTCAACCAGTCATTCAGGTGTACGTTTTATACCACCGAAGGTTAATCCTTGGCATTTGCTTATCCACTGTAATGCAAAAAACTAAAGAAAACCTGCATTTAGCGAAACACTGTATGAAAGTTATTGGTGTTAGTATGTTGATTGCTCGGGGGTCGAGCTAGGTAAGTAGGAAAAAAGAGTTACAGGATTTTGCTTGAGTAAAACATTTGCAATATCACGGAATAGCAAACGTTGATATACCTTTAATAGGATCGGGATAACCTTATATGCGAATGCCAAACATTCCTTGTGATGTCAAACTTAGTTAACGTGGATGAGGAAGTCATGAGTATTTCCATTATATCGAGACAAAGGATTAGAGGACCAGGTAATAGTTTTAGGGGTTTCGCGAGCAATTCAGGGAACATGAGGAAGGGAAAACTTTAGACGTACCAAGCGTAGGATGAATCATTATATTTTCAATAAAAATGCCGCGAAGTCATCTGTCCTGGCAAGATCAAGGCTGATGATAACTTTAATGTACTTAATAGAAAATGGATGTCCCTCTTTTTCCCCGACAATGGATAAGTCTGAACCGGACAGAAGCTGTCACTTTTGGGTGGAATGCCCAACCCGTCAGACTGTCCGGGTTGGTTGTCCCGGGTCGATAGCGTCAACAACGCACGCCAAAGCTTTCTTCCGCTACTTGTTTGGAATGAAAACAGCTCGTCGCTCGCACAACGATCGAGCCCTATGAAGAACGTGTTCCCTGTAGGAATGGCCCTGTCCAATTTGACCAGATTTGTGTTCATTTGGGAACTGCATGCCAGGTTCTAGTCCGATTCCAGGGTCATTACTTGCTACGTTCATCAGTGAGATAGAATTGATGTACAAAAACTGGATGATGTTGAGTGGCACTTGATACTTTATATAAATAAGCTCCATTTTGAAGTATGCTGACCCAAGCGTTCAAACTTCACGAATCATTTTTAACTCAATGGTTTCCTTCAAGTCCCCAGTGAGAACACATGCACCATGAGAGTCGATCACCGTTCGGTGAGGAATGATCAAACTACAAAGTCATCTGAAGACATGGAAGATATATCCTGTTATTGTATAATTTCTATCGGTGCACGTAAAAGGCCGGTAAATCAAAGGAGTTTCTTTTCAACATCTCATCCCAGACCTAAATTTATGTTAAAATACCCCCGGGGGAAAGATGCGCACGAAGCTTAGCTGAAAGTACGTACCCAAGATCAATGTATCACATCTACTTGCGTGTCAAGACGTAAAAGTGATAAAATAATAAGTGAGCAGAAACAATGGGACTCCACGGGTCGTGGGAAATTTGTGCGCGATAACTTGAGGCGTTGACGAAAGGGAACCTGTAGAAGGACGTGTCAATCAGCCCGACGGTTACTATGAGGAAGTGCTCATCCCTGAATTTGATTCTTTCTCTTTCCAACTAAGATCAAATTACTATGCATTTGTAATATTCCCAGACGATGAATGAGGTGGTCTGCTCTACATTCATTGGTTCTGAGTAGCGGATCATTCCAAAGCAGATCAAGATAACTATTCCATTTAGTATTCTCAAGTAGTTCGGTTTTACTCACTTGAAAACTTAGTGTGATGTAAAGTTCAAATAACACGAACCGTTTTGAGATTATATTGAACCGGCGATTTCTAAAAAAATTAAATTTTTTCTGTCTCTTTCAAGCAAAGTGAAGCATCTTACACAACTTCTTCTACGTTGACACCAAACGAGGTATAAACTAGCCGGAATCGAAAACAGTGCATCACTACCGGATCCACGCTCAAGAGAACATGATCACTGACCCAGGACCGTAGTTGCACACAACTGAATAGCCATACGGAAACGCTCGACCGGGGCATTTTCGGTACCCACAACCAACTTTACGCGTGGAGGCCCAGACGACCTGAAATTTAGATTTAGTTTCACAAGCACATGGGTATCAACCAAAAACATCAACTTTCATCAATTTGTGTGAAAACCTTACAAGGAAATTAGACTAATCATTTGCAGCATACCACAATATAAAGCTGTAAAACTTTACGTCGCTTGCAACCGTTTTTGGACAGAAGCATTTGTTGAATGAAGTTGTGTGATAATTATGATTAATTTTATTGTAACCTTCGTTTGACTGATGCCGATTATGACACATAATCAGATTGTCCTTGTGTTCAACCTCAAAAGAATCTGACAGATTATCCAGAGAAACATGATAAGTGTCATGAACAGCGTGGGATTACCTTGGTGTTATATCTAACATCCTTTAAAATGCCTCGTCTGAGTACTTCACCGGTTGGAAGTGAAAGAATAATATGTGACAGGTGCTTGACATATATAACTGTAATCAGGCCATCTAACCAGTGAAATACGCTCCCTGAGTGCTCGGACTTTTTCCTACCTGGTGCTGTCTTGCAACCTGGCCGGTATCTAGTACGCAGTAAAAAGATGTGGGGACGTCTCAAAGTTGGCTTGAACTACATTGACCTCTTAGGATAGTAGTGGTTTCCATTGTTTCAATCAGATTCCCTATTGCGAGTCCTTATATCTTCGTTTAGGTAGTAATTCAGTTCGTTTTATTCAGCTCTCAAGTGTCTGCATACCTAGGCTGATATCCTGAGATTCAACAACTAAACTACTGAATGAATTCAATCCTAATATTTGTCATCAGAAAGATAGCTTTTCCGAAAGAAGCACCCATCGTAACTGGTAGGTGGTCCTTGTATTTAAGAAACATTGTTGAACTCCAGGTGAGCAATGCAACCTTTCAGTTGTCATTTAAAATGCAATTTCTTGGGTATACAATCCAGAATCTCTATCTACTTTTTCGAGTACAGTTTCTACCAGGTTTTAAATTTACGAACATGAGCTACTGATCCGTCATTTACTTTATTTAAGAAATATTTTCTCAGTTTCATATTTATATAGTCCACAACATTGTATCCCAATAAAAAATAAACGCAGTTGAATTAGTTTCTGCGCTCTCCAGGTGATGAGAAATAAAAATGAATAAGTGCCATATTACACGAATGAAACTCTTCAGACATTTTGCACTCCTTTTGAATTTCAAATTTTTCTTACTTACATGTTTATTTTTGTCAGACCCGTCATTGTTTTTGCATAGCGTAACAAAATTTTGACAAAACCTGTTAAGCCTGTCCTAAAGTGTGTTGCAAGGAGACACGGAAAGTATGAAGCTGTTTTCTCGAACCTGTAACTTACGAGCTAGAACTCAGATGTCAACAAACCGGAGCTGGTGATCATATGTAGGACCAAACGTAACACCATCAAAAGGCTTCCAAGAATTGGAATACTTAGTAGCTGGAAAGTGCTTCCCCCCTTCTTTATGTACGCCTCTGTATGCATCATTTCAGGTGAAGTCAAGTGTATGGTCTGTGCACCAAAAGGTGAATTTTCAGCTGATACGTAACCAATGTAGTGTGAAAACCATCAATTAAAAACAGCAGTAGGAGAAATGTATATTCAATTAGGTGAATAAGGAAAACCGGCGAAGATAGAATCTGGGTTGGTGAAGAAACGAGTAAGGTAAGTAACTACCACGGATTCAGGAGCTCTGGTACGAGCAAAAGCGTGTAGACACTGCGATCGAATGGCGGATGTTAGTTTACAAGAGCTGAAATCTAGATGAAGAAGGTGTGTGCTGTTACGCAAGGTCTTACGTTAGCAAATCAGGTATACTTTGCCACTTTGGGCTGCGATAAACTGAATGAGTAGGTCGTGAGTGACGTCGTTGGGCAGAGAAAAATTTTCAAAGGACCTGAGGATCATTTTTGAATCATTCGTAGGCAGCCTGAGGAATATGATGGGGGAAGCATAGATCCATTGTGGAAGGATGCACCCAAATACAAAGCATCTTATTAATTGAAGAGGGATTTGAATGACATAAGGCATATCAAGCAAAAAAGAGTTGTCTACCTTTCAAGAAGGAGACCGTGACATGATGTGTCCAGGTAAAATCATGACTGATGGTTACACTGGGGCATCCGAAGCCGGTACTCTTTGTGTTGTCTTTCTACAGACAAAGAAGTCCGGAATAAAGGCTATTGAGGTAGTGCTTTGGGGGTTTTATGGAGACAGAACAGAATATCGACTTGAAGATCACATGACGAGCTCAGTTACTCTCCGTTGCAATGGAGAGGAATATGGATCAGTCAGGGTACATACTAGGAAGACCTTCGTCGTAATTAGACTTGGATGATGCGTAGGAAGAAAAAATAAACGGTGATGCAACGGCACTCTGAAGGACGCCTTGTGTAAAAGGAAGCATAGTAAAAGTTCGGTCACAGTGTCGTGTAAATTCTCATCGACCGACAAAGTAATCCAACAAAAGCACGAAGTCAGATGTACTGCCGCCTGAGCCAGCATGCATATCGAGTAATTTTCGGTCTATCAACGCAACCAAGTGCGTCGCAATAACCAAAGAAATAGACTCTGTCTACTTTTGCGATCAGCAGGTGATAAAACGGAGTGGGTGAGAGAGCCCAGGGCGTTGAATGTTGATGGTAATCAATAATATGAGTTTAACGCAGTAATCTGGATAGATAGTTTTTCAGTATATTGTCTTCGAACACTTTTAGCGCTACCAGTGTACGTAATTCAAATATACCCTTTATGAACACTGTGGAGATGGAGGCCGTTTTCCAACAAAGGGGAAAAATTTTACAAATAAAGCTTACTTCAAAGAGATAGGAAAATGCGTGGGATAATTTTGCCACGCACTCCTTTAAATGAATCGATTGTAGGCAGTCTAGACCGCTCTCCTTGTTCAAATAGAAATGAGTCAACTACCTGAATACATCCAAGGAGCTGATACCGTTCATAACAGGGTAATAATGGGAGCCGGCATTGACCTTTGGGATGGGTAACAGTTAGCAGTAAAGTGACGATGGAGTTCCTCGAGGTACGCCAAGGGTGACTAATACGAAAAATAGAACCGCTTAGGTGTGGGCGGCAGTCTTACATGTCTCCCTGCAATTGCTTCTGGAGTGTAATGGCTAAAGGTACAGGGAGTTCAGTTTAAACTCCATTTTGGTTGATTTTGATAAAGGGCACACAAATCCGTTGTCTCTGGCCTTCCAAGGCAAGCCGCTTCACACAAACAATAGCTTCAGCTGAGAGGAGAAGCTACGGTCCAGTCGGACGTAGTAAAATTCCTTTGGGGTAGCAGACATTGAACCAGAATTCTTGGGTATTCCGTTGAATGTTCACGAAACAAGGAGAGATCGGAGCGAGAAAATATACTAGTCAGAATTATCAACAGCATCACGGAGTCTCGCGAAAATCTTCCGGGTGACATTGTTCCCTGTATAATTTACCGTCAAGATTTTTGGTGAAACATGTGTATACACTTAGAGAAGAATATTCTGGAAACCTTCACAATCGCATGATGAGAACAATGAAATGGAGGACGACAAGTAATATGAAAGAAATTCTGATTGTTAACAAGACGAATATCTAGCTTGGTGTCAAGTCGGGTGGGAAAGATGACAATGGTGATCAGGCCCAAGGGTGCAAGAAATTTTACTGTGAACCTGCGAGAATCACAAGACACAGTTTATTAGGGGAGATTCAACAAGGATGAGTGCAATGGTAGGGTAATATCGGGAAACTCGTCAAGCTCCGAGGGAGGACAATTTGGGGTGATTTACACGTTTACAATACTGAGTGACACACGATAGCCTGCGTTTAAGCTTGCACTGAAGATCAGATTCACTGACGCGCGATGTAGAATAAGTCAAATTATTTATCTGTTTGTGCCTTATTTCATTCACGAAGTTATTTATACCAGCTTCAGGTTTACGGCACGGAGCCGGGCGGTCGACGCGAAGGCAAGCAAAAGTATACATTATACAATCTTATCATTAATATCAATGTGATGTCAGGTTTCTGTCAGCTGGATGACATCCAGTTGACTATATTCCGGACGATGGATGAAATCAGTTAACCCTGTGAATTTTTCATGCAACTGTTGAACTTTGAAGCCTATGATAATTGGTAAGCACGTAGTTGACGAAGCCTAATTCCTTAGTCCAAATTTTCAATCCGCGTGACGTTTTCGGCGTTAGTCGTTTGACTATCCAAAACTTTCGTTCGTTTTATTTCTTACTGATTTTCCATAACTGCTTTTCAGCAAAGTGCCCAAGTGTTTTAAAGATCTAACGTAATCGAACGAATATGATAAGATGCTAAGCACGCTGCCTGTGGCATAAAGCTTCTATGACTACCGACAAAGTTAATGGAAAGTTGGTGCCAATACGGTAAACGTGTGGCAACTTTCTTCGGTGGGTATAAGGACAGCATAGCCAATTTTGGGAGCCCTGCATAGCTAGTAAGTTAAAGTTGACCACGTTGACAGTTCATGAATATTTGACTCATTGTTGCTTTGTGTTTAAATCTGGTTTTCGGTCTGCCACGTTTTTCTGATCGGCACGCATTGGAAACGCAAATTATCCTGATTCGTCTTATCATATGAGAAAGACAGGCAACAAGAAAAGAACGGGACAAAAATTACTGGGAACAACAAGAAACCGTGTTAAATCAACAGTAAGCATGATTGTAATAATGTAGCAGCGTTTACAGATGATAATGTTGCTGATGGAATTCACACCATGAACTCACTTGTGTATAATGTCCACACATTCTACCGGGCTTACAACTATTTTTCTCGAAACTGTAGTGCCTATGTTCTTCGAACCAGAGCCGGACAGTGCTGATTAGAAAGTGATAATGTACGAATAAATCACAATTTCCGAGCGCAATACATCCATGCAAGAAAACAAGTGACCAAAACCCAAGATGAACATTAGAAATACGATGAAGAAAAAGTAAAAATTCGCACGGTTTCTAATTTGTTGTATGAATCAACTATGCGTAAATTTTCACTTCTCCGCTAATTAAAATAATCTGCCTATATGAGACGATCAGACTGAGTAATAACTGAAAAATTATTTCGATATGGGAGTTTAATAGCGTCGTGTGTTGAGACACACGGCTAGCCTTAAGACCTTTGTAGGATGCGCAACATTCGCACCTCATTGCGTTAAGAAACATCAACCATTGTGGTGTGGTCAGAGGAAAGTCTGTGTGATTACCATTTCGATTTGAAGCAGTTTCTTCAATGATGGATACAGAATGGACCCGGAAAAAGCATTCAGAGCCGTACTCCGGGTTCACCATAATCGATCAAGGCCATCCCCAGTTTCAGCTGCGAAAAAGGGACAGAGGCAATGGCCATTGGTAAAACAAAACACGAACTACGTACAAAATTGAGGATGTAGCGTCTGGAGACTGAAAAGCGAAGTTATCAAAAGGATTTCCGAAATCATTAGTTGGATTTGTGAAACCATCATGAAGATATGGAAAACCATAAGTTGAACTTGAGAACCAAACACAATAGTTGGTTTTCGCATCGCCAAAGTGTATTTCATTGGCCAACTAGCCACAAGCCTCTCTGGTTGACCATTTATGCGTTGTGACCGCCGCTCTAATCACACTCTTCCAGTGCAGAAATGGTACGGACTTCAGACGTGTAACTTGCCGTGCTCAAGGACGGACATCGATCTGTTCGGTAAATGAGGTCGAGTGACCCGAGACAGAGAAACAAACTGCCCTCAACTTACTTATGGAAAAGACGACACATTACGTCAGACGTTTTTGGGCTAGCGAGAACATTTTGTTCGTCCGATGTGTCAAAAGTCAGTTCTTCGGGAAACAGACGGAGTTGTGATATTTGTCTCTGAATAAAATCAGCATTCAGTTCATCGACATGATGCTGAGATGGAAATATGAATTACGTTATCTTAGGAAATTGCTTCGCACTCCACCGTGTTGGATAGCTTTGGCTAGATTTTTAAATTCACGTTCTGAAAAGTAATTTCTAAAGAAACGTGTTTATTATGTGTATATATGTAGTGAATATGTGCAATATGCTTGGGTTCATATCGTCAATAAAATATATCTTCCGCGTTCCCCATATACATGTATCCTGAGAATCAACAGGATAGGACAAATCCAACTAAATTTAACCCATGGAGTCTCACGTTGAAGTCGGAAAATCCTTGTACCACTTCAAATGGAGTAGGTTATTTTTGACTTCTTAACAGTACATTCTATTAGATTAAATAGAAGCCTTCTATATACTTTTTTCTAGATGTAAACCGCAGAAAACGGAGTAAGCAGTAAGTCGAAAGCGGTGGAATATTCCTGGGGTATATGTTGACAGATCTGATTAACTTTAGTGATAGACAGTAACACAATCATCCGACTAGTTATTGCAACTCAGCTATTTTGATCTTATGTGCATCGCTACCTTAAGTTTCAGGGTCTGGTTGCTGGCTATTCCTAATTGTGAAGTGGGTCTTTGAGGCTTTGTGGTATACATCTACCATTGCACTCATGAGCAAGCATGTCTTTAAAAAAAGCCAATTCACTTGTAACTGGCTGCAATCATTATTGTTGGGATTGTTAGCGTTGTAGTCAGCTAGTGAAGCTGAAATCGTCACGAAACACTCCACTGTTACGGTTTCTTATTGCATTAGCTCTGAGTTCAGATAAATGGTTACTAAATGCTTGGGGTAAATTGTTCTCATATTTAAGGCACTGTGAATCCTTCATTCATTCGGTCAGTACTAAAGAAAGCCAGAGGCTGCGAGCGCGACAAGTTGCACGTTTGAGGTCCGTACCATTTCTGCACTGGAAGAGTGTGATTAGAGCGGCGGTCACAACGCATAAATGGTCAACCAGAGAGGCTTGTGGCTAGTTGGCCAATGAAATACACTTTGGCGATGCGAAAACCAGCTATTGTGTTTGGTTCTCAAGTTCAACTTATGGTTTTCCATATCTTCATGATGGTTTCACAAATCCAACTAATAATTTCGGAAATCCATGTGAATATTTTTGTAAGCCGCCGTGCTAGTTTCTGAAATCAATCTGAAGTTGGTGTATTCCGGGCTTTGCGGCTGCCCTGACCAAAACAGCAGCCCACAGACAGCCCATGGTATCCTGAACACCCACTATCTATTACCACTCATGACGATGAGGGTGAAACTCACCGGAACACGCACCTAGTACGGACATGCTCCTCCCCACACACATGCATTTTCTACACCACGACAATGTCCTTCACCCCGATCAATGACTAACCCATTCCAGTGTTACCTCATCCATATGATTTGTACGACCACAGGCAGGACTAATTGAAAACAGTTGTTCGCTCTACAGCTTATTGTTCCTAATGTGACCTTGACCATGGGACGAATATGAGATCATAATTTGTTTCGAAATCCATGAGTGATTTACAAGATTTTCGTCCCACTTACAAATCTAGTTTAAGTTACGAAGGATTTCATATAGATCATATTATTTATCAGTGCTTCTATAATTTGTTATTCCAAACTGGCCTCGAAAATAAATTGATTATCCGTGTAAACTCTGATTATACACCATTAGTTATACCTCAGTCATTATTTTCCAAGTTCACTTATAATGATGTGTCAAATCAAAGTTTTCATTATTTTACCTCTTTGTTTCAATTATATGACAGAGTGGATTCCAGGTGAATCGAGCTCTATGTTGGCAGGTGTCGGAATAACTTCTCGTCTGAAATAGGGTGACTCTCCTCACAAAGTGCGTTTCTATCTTAGCTTGGAAATTAATTTCATGAGTTTTAGACCATCCGGTTTGGAAATTTGAGCCATTTTGTAGAGTCAATGATAATCCAAAGTTCTCAGTCGTCGTTGATCGGCACAGATAACCTGATCTTATCCTTCGACATTCCACTAATACCTCGATACTTCTATTTAAAAGTAAGTTTAGACTTATAAAATGGCGAACAGTACGGACAGCGTTTGTTCTGAAGTTGTTGTTGAACGTAGCGCAGGTAGATTGTTTTCAACAGTCGAGGAGACATCGTTCGTGCGCTACGAAACTTTTGCTGCGAGAATTCCAAGTGCAGTTAAAAAAAGCTGCTGAAAATACTGAGATCAAAAGGTACAACAGCGTGTACTCATACGGTTCTTATTGCTTTTGGATTACCTTCTCTTTTAAAAGTTAAATCACCCATATAGAACACTGCGGATAACTTTGTTCTGGAAATAATCATGTTTACATGCTATGATTCACAGCGTGACTGGACGTTTCATATCACTGAAAACCCTGGAAGCAGTGTACAGTTATTTCATCTTTGTTTGAAATCATCACCAAAGCACATGCACCGAGCCTCAACGGGGACTAGAATCCGAGGTGAACCATCGTGAGTTGAAGATCTAGCCACTTGGCTACTAATCTGGCTCGGAAATGTAATTTAAACTTATACTCTACATTAAATCATGACATTACTTTACGCCCTACTGCTGGAACTTCATTGTTATCACGATATGTCGAAATTTATTTTGGATCTCATTCTCTAAACTGCAAAGAAGATGAAAACTCAGGCACAAACCCGTGATAATTTGGTGTCTAACACTGCCGATGTGGCACCACATCCATCAAGCTTGCCTTAGGTACTATTAATTACCAAAGACCTAGGATAACTGACAGAATTTCATCACAAATGTGCAGCTTCTCCGAGATGGATTGGGGCTTTAAATATTGGGAATTTTATATCAACAATCTCTCCGCAAGATTCGTCTAAAAAATTATATTAAACGTTGATTTCTGCGTGAATGGAACCAACAAACTACGTAATTTAATTGATATTTAAAACAAATTTTCAAACCAGACATCAGAAAAATTAAAATTCGAAAGGAATTCATCTGTGATGTTTCTTCCATTTGCGCATCTTAGGAGCATAAACAATGACATGCCATTCTTCTGTATTCCATTTTTTGACGGTGATTGTTCAACTGTCCCGTATAATTGATCTCTATGCTCCAGAGGGATGGCAATGATATGAACTCCTCGAGTTGGCATTTCACATCGGTCGTACCTCTGGAACAAGCCGTATGGCTCCCTAGACCTATTGGTGGAGCTTTTAATCCAGGTAACGCTTCCATAATGAGGTAAGAGTGACATATTTTGTTTAGCGTTTCAATTTACTAGGCCGTATACGGAACTGTTGTTACCGCGTACAAATTAGGCCTGTCTGCTACGCCATCATTTAGTGACTATCTGACAGAAGTCTACTAGGGTACGCATCGTAAATTAGAATACAGGACAACTTATTAAATGATACATACCAATTTTATGGGAACACATTTCCACGTGTTGGTAAACAAAATCTCGCAACAGATGATTCATGGACTGCTGTCTGATTTACCGGGGTCAGATTAAAAGCTTTTTTGTTCGGATTTCGCCTACTGAGATTTACGTCAGTAACGTATGATCCAAGCTAAATAACATTAACTATGTAGTTGATAGGGAGAGGATTTCAAAGATATCAGTATAATTTGTGGTTAGAAAAACAATTTGCAGAGTTTCAAATTTGTTTTAGATGTCATAACGTTGGATGTGGGCAGACAAGCCCCCTTGTTTACTCATGTTGGCGAAAAGCCCTACTTCGGGATCACGCCATCGATTTTAGGGAAACATTATAGTCGAATACATTGTCATGCTTGTGAACATATTTCAGTTGATTACGGAATTCGCTAAGCTTCTGCCAAATATATTTTCCTGTGTGGTTAATGGAACTAATGGAGGGAAATTGAATGTCAGTGGATCTGGATTAGTTACTTGTTGCTTAATCTGAGAATGTCTAGATTTCCTTTTCGATACGTTATTAGCCCCATCATTGCACACATGTGCGTTTCCAACAGTCTTCTTTCACGGGATATGGATGAGTTTTCTTAGTATATTTATGCCAGCGTAGTCAAAGTAGAAAGGTGGATGCCACCTTATTCGGGGTTGTTAGGGGGCTTTGTCTGATTGTCCTTGAATTGGTTTTAGAGTCTCCCCAGACAACATTTCCGAACTCTGAGTGATGTATGCAGTTAAGAATACCCCGTTTTCCTCTGTCAGATTGCAGTCAGATGATCTTGCCGGGTACATAATGACCCGTGTACGTGGCAGCACGTCTGCACCCAACCTGACAGAAAGTAATTATATATGAATGTTACCTAGCCACTTAAATAATTTATGCCTAAGTTGCTGTTGTAGATAATCACATCGCCAAAGTGCGAAAGTCAAAGGTTTCCAGGCCATCGATTCAAACGTCTGGTACACGCGGTTTTGGGGAAGTATTCTCCTAATACTATGTCAACTGCTTAAACAATTTCTCAAAAACTACTTACACATGGTAACTCCAAGTCCTTATTATGAAGGAATTATACAGCCTTCCATATTAACCACTAGTCTACAATTATATGATTTTTCCTTAGTGCCGTTCCTTTAAACCTTCCCTGATTATAAAACATTCCAGTGAAACATGATAAGTGGTTTCCAGGGCACTATTTGTTCATTACAAATAAAATGGTACAAATATTTACTCCAGCCTTTTGGCACGCCCAGAATTTTACATAAAAGTACTACTTTTTCAATTCACTGACGACCGTTATCTGGATTGCTTCAAGTATTTCTATCGAGAGTTAAAGATGTATCAGTAGAACCATAACCGGTCTACACAGATTCTGTTGACCAACTTATCAGTAAAACCCACTTCTAGATTGAACTTCAATTTACTGAAAGGGGGATTTAGTTTCTTGATGAAATAAATGCGCATTCAATGTCAACTGTCGGTTTGGAAATGGAAATTTAGAACTGCACTGCAGCTATTTCATCCCGATTTCTAAGAACTGTCTGTGAAGTACACGATGGTAGAATCCCCATGAGAGTTCTAACCATGGGTTCATAATTCTTAGTTACACATGTTACCACGGGGTAATCCAAGCTGGCTTGCTCTATAATTTCATTAGTCGATAATTAGGATAATTTCATTGCAAACACTGACTGCTGAGCATAATATACATGCTCACCACTGTTTGTACAGAAAATCTGTATTTCCGTGAGCAGCACTAATGCGGCTGTGCTAATTTGTGCGTGAGAAAGAAATTGTCAATGTTTATTATTATTGGTACCGTGCCATTGGGTTACTGATTATCCCGATGAGCTACACTCATATTCTATCTTCAGTTGGTTGCTCAGGGCCACTCGATCCCGTAGAAAACAAGATATTCACAGTTCCTTATCAAGACTTTTATCAGTGCGTACCCTATATAAAGTAAAGTTCGAAATATATCTGTCACATTTTTCCCAAGTATTCTTGTCATAAAAATCATCCCTCAGATTTCTGTGATCACTAAAATATCTCCTATGTGTTCCGGATCGATCAAAACGCGAAAGTTCATGGATTCCCATGGGACTCATACCCATGCATCCACTGCAGTGAATCAACTAGCAGTTCGACTGTTGATAGCGGGGCCTTCACATGGGCCAACCGACTCTCCAAAGACTGAACACACTGGCAATTCTGGTGATGAAGTACGGTCTCGCGTATTTGACAAGAGTGGCATTGATCAAAAAGTTTTAAATACAATTAACCTGGGCACGATTCAAAACAACGTAAGGAACACATCCGCACTTAAATAGCGCATGTACCCAACCAGATCAGCTACGAGACTAAACCACAGCTAGTCGTACATTGCTCAAAAGGATCACACAGTTCTCCAGGTCAAACTGTATGGGCAAATCATATTTGCCACAGTGAACTAACTTGTAACTTGAAGGTCTGCAGTAGAATCTCCTTAAGGCATCTTGAGGGTCAATTGAATATACGAGTATACATGATCGAGTATTACTGTTTGACTAACGTTCTGTCTTGGAGAGAGGAATAAGCAAGCCGAGGGACGAGCACCATTACTATAACTGTGTACTGAACATTTTGTCAGAAAAGCTCCGACTTGCTTCAATAGGTCATGTTGTACATTTCGCTCAATGAAATTTTCAAAGCTTTCATTTTCTGAACAATAAATTATTCGTTGTCAGTTGCAGCAAAGTGGCTAAATTCAATAAATTTGCACCTCTTATCATCCACAAGGGTGATTAAACGGTATCCAAATAGAAACATTCAGCATAAACGTACTCGGAAACGTTGAATGTTCCAGCCCAGTTTTGACCAACCCAATGGAATTCCTTTGTCTGTCGTTCCATAAGCGTATCGTGACCAACTTGACACTTGTTGGCCAAAAACTGAGCTTTTCTGGCCAATTCTTCATCCCAAGTCTATGATGTGAAAAACAAAGATATTTGGTTGAACGGTGCTTATTCTGCTTCTCAAAAGAGAAGTAGCAAATAAAAAAGGAATGTGAAATGTAAACTAAACCGAGGCGTTTAATATTATTCTCAGTTTACTATGAGGTGTCTGCTGACAATGGATCTCACGGACGTAAATGCTCATCAGTCGGTCTCCACAGGTGAATTTAAAACGCCTCATCTTCAAATTAAATCCAGAGCAACAAACAAAACATATGGCAAGTGTCGGTGTTTGAAGTTACCGCTATTTTGATTAACATAACTTACCTGGAAATGAATTCTGCTGTTCAGAGTTATTCATATATAATTAGATGGCTTCAATAGAGGTGCCGGATAACTGTCATACAGGGTGGTTTTAACTATTGGTGAGTCTATTAGGCAATTAGTTACTATAAAGATATGTTTCCACCGGTAGAGGAAACTGTAAAGGCTTTGGTTGTTAGCTAAAAGAAGTGACTTGACAGCTAACCTTCATTCAATTTTTTAAAACCTGCTTGGAAAACAACCTAAAAATTTATCTTTATATTCATTTTCTACAGAGGATATAGTCTGATAAGGTATCATTAAAGCGAAATATAATAATTGCAAGAGTCTGCAAAGCACTTTTCAATTTGACACTTTTTGTACTGAAAGTTAACGTTTGAAATATGTGAGATGAGACTGCTCAAGTAGAACTTGGTCTCCAACCGGATCATCCGAACTGCTGAAAATGTGTTCGAAAAAGTTAAGGCACTCCAGAGAACCGCTATTTTGTTTTATATGTCGACCGCGAGGTGATAAAGAAACCTTCAGCCATCGTCGAACCTTATCCACTGCCAACAAAAGCCAGACAAAGGTCAAGGATTTGCGTCAAACAGCTGATCGTCGACAGGTTAACTGGGTTATAAACTAACTTGTTCGGCTGACAAACATTTGCCCTCAACAAAGAATCTTGGTGGTTCGAGAAATTTTATTCAGTAACCGGGAGATTCTCTGTTCCTGTTTTCACTGGAAACTTTCGGGTAGCAGTCAGGGTATTGAAACCGAGCTTCGTTCTGTGTGTATCGAGAGAAAATGATGAGCCACATGATATGTCATATTTAAGTGTTTGGTAGTGGGTGACAACCAGCTTTTGGAAATTTAGGTAATCCGTCAATGTTTCCGATCCGCTGGATAACTTTACCAGAGACCTGTTCGAAAATAAGGAACACTGGGATTCCGACCATCAAGTGCTTGCGTGTACTTATTCACTTATTGTAACGACTATATAAGTTTTTGTGGATCGTATAAGAGTGTCATTTGGTAGCCGTATTGAACTGTCCTCAGGGCCTGACTGTATATCTAACGGGGCGAAGATCAATGCCATCTCTAATTTGCATGAGAAACCAACTTTAGGGAAATGGGTGCGCCGCTCCGTGCGCTACGAAACACTTTTCAGAGTTGCAGTTGAACTTAGTGAACAGAATTTAAACGACATGACCATTAAGACTGGACAGCTTAGAAGCTTCTCAATTGTAGCGATAAACAACGGTTGTATAGAAACCCAAATACTGCGTGAATGATATACGCAGAAAAAAGGGGTCGTGAAGTTTCGAAAAATCAGTCAACGTTTTCGCAGCAGAGAAGTTTTCGCTTCGGGTGGAATAGAACAAACAACGCACCATGTACCATCTGGATGCTGCCATCATTGCAGCGATTGTGGTAGGATCCAATATATGAAATTAACAAAAACCGATTTCTATTAGGATACTTCTGCAAAGCCGGTAAATTTTCATAAGCAACCTTACACACAGTATTGAATACTTGCTAACTGGGAGTACTAAGTAGTGGTTACTTTGAATAGTTTGAAAATTTACACTCCCATAGGTTGCCAAATAAACGCATTCACAGCATCTATTATGTAACACTGAACCATAATTCTCGAGTTGTTCGAGGAGTCTAATATTATCCTTCTAATAACGGGCGAGCCATTCTATTGGGAATGAATACCCTGAATGGGCACCTCTGTCCACAAGCTTAACTGTTCCCATACAAGCTAATAAACAATGTGCAACTCAAATCAGTTTACTTGGTGATTTTATAACTCAAGCTCACTGAACAGAAATAACAAATCTACGCAGCATTGATTTCTAGGCTCAAATTAAACTAATTACGTGTTCAACATAATTTCCGAAATTCTTCCTTTATGAGTTCGGTTATAATTATTTTGGGAGCGTTTCACATGTTTGACGCAGTTACCAATACAAAACTATTCTAATTTGGAAACCTACGGACTAGATTCAACGATCAGGAACACCCATAAGCTCAGGCTGTAAGGAATTCCGATTGGTCTAGAATGGTCCGTCCTACTACTTAGACTCTTAATTCACCATAGAAAATTCATTCAAGCAATTTAACTCCATTTCACTCTTGTAGGGAGATATCCCGTTGTATGTAATACGTGTATTGTCTTTAGTTACCAGGAGGACTCTCCCTTGTGGATAAGCTTTGCTTAATTTTCTCTAGGTAAGAGGACACCATTAAAGTTTAACTGTCAATGAGCCATTATTAATGGATCAACATCCCCCAAACAACGTTTTCAGAACCGACTAGGTAGAGCGAAAGAATCACAAGCCAATGCGTAATTTCGTTTAAAAGCACGTCCGAGATCACCCGAGTACTTCCTATTTTGCCCTGTTCTTGAATGAGTGACCATCATTTGCTAATAAAACTCACATATTTCTGTCCTGTTTGAAAAGACGCATTCAGCAAGGAATGATTTGTACTAGGGTGTGACCATGGACCCCGATGGTATACAAACCGCTTCCGCTCGGTTCCATTCCCCTCGGTCATTGTCTTTTTCATGAGTTACATACGTAACTAAATCCTACCCTGGTAGCCGGAATTTCATAGTTGTTTTATTTGGTTTATTTAACCCTTTTTCACCATATAATAGTACAATAGTTCAGGAAGGCGGTCGAAGCCTATAAAGGCTAACAACTGATAAATGATATACACGTAGGAGAAAACATACAAGGGCAAAGAAAAGATCGATGGTATTGTAAGAGGAAAGCCACATTCTGACCATCAGTAATTTCAGAAAGTAAGGAAGTGCACTAATCAATGAGGAAGGAGGTCATGTGTTATCCGAGCAAGAAATAGCCCGGAAGAAACAGGGTCGGTGTAAATCCGGTGTCCGTACGAGTGATATTCTAGATTAGAGACAGTGTGAAGCGTATCAACCTAGCGGGCAAGTACGATATCCAACATTTGGGTTAAATTAGAATGCTTTCTTCCTTCTGAAGCGAAGTTCATCCCTTCAGTGTTTACAGTCAAATAAGCTTACTACAACAGTTGGTTTCAAACAGAAATTTCATTTAACGCGAAGTCTGCGGTTGACAATCCCACAAAAATACACTACGCTCAGTCTCAGAAACGCCTCTTTTTGTGCAAATAATGTGCAGTAGTTTAGGTCTCAAGATGTGGAGTAGCTGAAGGGCTGAATTATCACCCCCAATACAAAATTTGAGATAGGTGTATCAAGTTCTATTAGTGCATTCTTGGTAAAATCCGAGCACCTGTCGACAATCACTCGATCTTTCTGATAATCAAACAAGTCGCATAGCACGCACCAACAGCCATTTGGTACCAGAGGCTAGCAGCTTCTGGGGCAGTTACTTATGGTTTCCTGAAGCTAAGAGCTAAGCGTATTAAAGTCCTTGATTCCAGGTTCCCAACTCTCATGGCAGATAACCAACTACGTTATGTGTAAACGAGGCGGTAATTCATGTCAATAATACCCTGTTACACAGAGCGGTTACCCGTACATATATAACCTGTTTGAAAGTTTTCCACCACTTTATCTTTTATAGGAACTAAGTGTGACGACTCAAACTGTTAGCTTTATTCAGTGTAGAGGGTAGGAGATGTAAGTTATACATTTGTTGATTCATAGCTTTCTCGTTCTCTTCCTCTCAAGGGTGAATAAGACAACCTCTGCTTTAGAGTAAAATCATTACCAGTATAATTTTATTTACCACGAAATGTTAAGGGTATTTTTAGGCGCAAGATAGATCGCATATCTCTGTTTACAATAAATAGTCAGTAGAATCTATGATACTTGTATTTTTGGTTGGAGTGAACCTTACTCTGAGAAGCTGAGTAGATTTATGGATGAATGGACACTTTGAGGAACAATGAAAAGAGAATATCACCTACGAAAACATCAAGACACGGTGAAAGTAGACATTCAATCAAATATCATTTGAGGATGGCAAAAGCTTTCTCACTATTTAGAAACGTCTTCAGTTAGGTTCCCCTGCTGTCACCCTGCAAATGTATTAGACTTGTCACATGTATCATCTTTACAACTAATTTGAATAAAATCTTTGACCAACTTATTGAGTCCGCAAGATACGCCGTGATCCCACTCATCAGCTAAATAAATGAATATACTTCTTTGATCTCTATTTTTAGTCCCGGAACCTTTAGTCAGAAACAAGTCTGTAGAAAACTCTCCTGTCTTATTTGCCTTGGGTTCTAACCAATAAAGAAAGAACTGATGGCGCTTTACTTAGAAAATATTACAATCTCCCCTCGTTTATTGGAGTAAACTCTAATCAAAACATATCGTTAGTTCTCACTCATCCAAACTGTTGCTCATTCAGACCACTAATTTGTCTTATTGTTTATTTATTATATGTTAACTAAACTCCTGGCATACTGATTGCACACGTCCTTCGGGCAAATAAGAATACAAAGTGTGTTCTGATTCTTCTTGATTCGATGTTCAGTGGTCGACAGAAAAGGTGAAAATGATATGATCTTAGATACCAATCCGGTCATTGAAATCTGAGTGTACCCACTTGCTAGAAAACACGTCACATTCCCTTTACATTACCTACCACGTCACTGTTGTATAATAAACCCTAAACAAACTAAAATATGGTACAAAATGGAAGAAGGCTGTCTGACCTGACTGGGAGGGAAGAAGTTCTCCAAGTCACGTGTTTGAAAACGCGTATATTTTCTGAACAGGGAGAAATAAATCAATTCTAAAGGCAGTAGGTTTACGCATAGCTACATGCACGGCAAAATCAAAAGTCGTTACAACCGGAACAAACTGTGGAAAGATAAGAACGTGCAACGCCAAGAAAGATTATTGGTGAAACTTTGCATGGTCGAGTTTCCACAACCGATAGTTTTATACGGTCAATTCCAGGTTATACAACGGTCAGGATCGGATAAAAAGGCAGAGGTTTTGCCTGTTACAGTACAGACACACACACACACACACACACACACACACACACACACACACAGACCACCGCGGATATCCCCTCGACTTCTGATAAAAGACTTGCTTATTGCGAGTAAAACGTAGCGAGCAACAGCTTAAAAAATCCTAGTTTATTTCTCTTGGTATTTACCCCTTTCACATCCTTTTTAATCAACCTTGCTGAAAGATGTGAAAACTTTTTTATCTGGTCCGATCCCTTACTTCTGTGGGGCTATTCTAAGCTAAATATTTCCTGACAAGTTTACTGGTATTCCCCTGCTCGCTCAAATCTTAAAGTCTGACTTTAATTTGCAAGTATCAAAGTTTTACTGGTGTCTGTTCAGTAAGGGACTTTCTGTACACCATGGAAAGTACTCCATTCTAGCAAATGGTAGTAGGTTGCATGATGTCACTAGGCCTGTGAAAAAACTTCCAAGGTTTCACGCCGTTCTTCTCTAGACCTGTTCAACTTCAAAAACACCAGTGCAAGAGCCTGTGCGCCTTGTTGACCGGTTTGTGTAGATAGACGAATGCCCATTAGGACACCATGTGGAATAACAGAAAAGAAACTTGATTCTCGTTCCCATGGTAAGAGTAATGATTCAGCGAGTAGTTTTTAGTTCCACTGGAAGACCATAGAAGCACGGTTGCATAGTTGTTTTAGGTGGGTTGCTAGGACCCACCTACGGTGCATACCCATAGATTTCCCAAAATAAACAACTGTGACTTTAATATTTAAGATATTTGGGCTGACTTCATTCAACTCGATTCATTTCCGTACTACGTGGCATACCAAACATCCGTTTTCTTCAACGGGAATTCGAGCGTCTATGTAATGCATGAAAGCAATTCCGTACACAAACGTTATCAGGAGTTATTCTCCGAGTACGTAGGATATCTAAGGAATGCAACAACAAACCGGCTTACCAGCATTTTCATGGAACTGGCTCTTGGCTGACCGGAAACTTTACCTGCCATCAGCATTGTTCGGTATTTGTTGTGTTCGTCTACAAAACGTCGTCTCTCCACTCTCGTTGTACTCATGGATATATGGTACAATGTAAGCAGCGTCACAACTCGTAGGATATATGAGAAACCACGATCCCCCATTTGGGACTCAGACTACAAGCGACCAGAGGCAAATGCGTAATGAATGAAATCCTCCATGGACTACCTGTTTATCAGGCTTAGAAAAATACAAAAAACCACCGTGCACATTCCCGCCCCTCCTCCACCGAAATCACCTTGTTTTATAGATTGGAGCACAAATCGAATTAAGGGAAAAATGCGGGTAAGTACTGACTGAACTGTGACTTAGGCGAATTTGGACACAAATCTTGCGTGATAAATAGTCACATATTGTCCACATTTCACTTCACTGAAAGTACATAATAACTACTGCCAAAAATAAAATAGCGAACAAACAATATACAGTCAATTCGATTCATTACGTGTTTCCAAAGGCACAACGTGACGATCCACCTCTGGTCCACAAGCAGTTTATTATATTTATCTCATAGATTGCCCATTCGCCAATAGAACAGTTGGTTGGTCATCAGCTGAGTTTAAATATAGTGGGGTGATTGTTTAGTTCAAATCTGATGGTATGTCGTAACTCGACCCGAGAATTGGCAAACGAATAGCGATTGCTTAAATCATGTCCAAGATTCGGAGTCTGGTTATTTACTTGTTTTTTCGTGGTTAAGCCACTCCGAGTGAGGTTCTTTAGGGCTTAAAGGTAAACGCGGAACTGGCTCTTGGCTGACCGGAAACTTTACCTGCCATCAACATTATTCGGTATTTGTTGTGTTCGTCTACAAAACGTCGTCTCTCCACTCTCGTTGTACTCATGGATATATGGTACAATGTAAGCAGCGTCACAACTCGTAGAATATAAGAGAAACCACGATCCCCCATTTGGGACTCAGACTACAAATGACTAGAGGTAAACGCCTCACCGAGCAACCAACGTAACACTCATCAGATGCCCACTTTAATGAACAGATGATCCTAGATGGGGGCGGCTGAAGAAAACTGCCCCGCACTGGTATGCGAATCAGCGACGGAGTAAAGAACACACACTTCAAATCAATGGCGCTCTTGGCCCTTCCCAATTCTCAACGTTTTTCAGTATATGATTTGGTAGTCGTGAGAAAAGTAGGTCTGAATAAGAAAAGATGGCAAAATGAACTCCAGAAATTCCGTCAGTGGCTGAATCGAAAGTGGCCCGAACCCTCAGCCAGACTAATGCACAATAAAACCCCATCACCTTGACTGCATAGCACTGTGACAGTGACCTTTAATCCAATCAGTGGTCTACGGACTGTAGTGTAAGAAGCTCGTACAGCACAGTGAAGAACTTTTGGAAACGATAATTCAATTTCTAGGGTCGTTGTTCTTAGCTTTTTCTCAAACTTCCGTAAACTATTGGCTGCTATCATTTTCCACGTGATTTGTCAACACAGAATGTATTTACTTGCAGTGTTTCAGTGTCATACAGATTAACAGAATAATTATTTGAACAGCAATTGTTTTCCCACAGTATCGGCTAACATCATTGATAATTTGCTGAATGCCATTGTATAGTCATCAGTACTTTTACGGCAAAGGAAAGATCAGCTCCAATCATCAAATGGCTTTTATTTCGCCAATTTTGAAAGTCAAGCGCTATCATACAATATGTATTTGCAATAAATAAGATTTTATTATTCGGAACCAAATCTTCCAACTGAAACTACGAAATACTCAAAAAAATAGAAAGTTACTTCCTTCTGCATAAAAATGGTGGAACGAAGAGCATGAGGTACATGCACAATAACAACCCGTATTCATGGGCTCCTCTTTGTTTCTCTCATACTCCAACACAAAAGAAACGGGGAAAGGAAAAGTTGAAGAATAAAAGCAAGCCTAGAATAATTCCGTTTCTCTCACTGATATCATAAGTTGGCAACATAGACCAATCTAATTTGAACAACGTGCTTGATCCGGAGTAAAACTAAATCAAATTGAGTTTCGTTTTCATGTAAATAATAATCGATTTGTGGGTTGTATCACGGTTGGTATTGAGCTCCAATGTGACTCGCCTCTGCTCTAAACAGATTCACGCAAATTTCGAATTCGACCATCCACTGTGGGGGCAATTTTGTTGGCATTTTGTTTTTCACGCTGTACAATCAGTACCCAGCGTGCTTTGTCCCACGGGTCATCCGAGTTCTCAAAAATTCCTGGAAGTGAATTTTTTCCGGTTTGTTCTAGCAGACGCTGTCTTTCTACAATTGAAACGATGCTTTGTCGATGATTGGTTCTCGATCTTTGGAAGCCCTTTATAACCTGCAAATGAGTGAATGAAAATGTTTAGTAATAATTTTTTTCACCATCCGGAAAACTTCTGAATTTTCGTTTTAAATTTTGTAAAGTCTATTCAATCGGGGGTAAACGTCAGTCGGAATCACGCCCTATTAAAATCGAAATTGCGTGACTCTATTGATTCACAAAAGACAAATATATAATCTTCTTTTTCCTTTTTATTTGGTATGCAACAAGGTACAAGATTTCACGGAAAGGGCTGAAACCAAGGTAACGCTGTCAAATGGAGAGGTGACCTGCATTGGCGGATTCGGAACTGGGTCGGAACTTTCCACTGTCCAAGGTGATAGCGGTTTGACCACCACTGCTTCAAAGAACAAAGCCCAGGTATTAGGACCTGTGCTTTTTACCATATTTTGCAGTGCTAAACACACCAGTGGATCACTGGATAAACAGTCAGATCTGAGACAGGGAAATGATAGAGTTTGTAGCATTTCCCAAGTTTCATTAGGCACTGTGGAGCAGTTACCATGTCATTTTCTCTTGCGATCGTAGCTGGCTTTGTATTCCACGATATCAGGCGAAGATATCGGATGTCTTGGTTGGTGTGCATATTTATCCAAAACCATAATAATGCTAAATTCCGCAGCCAAAGATGGAACGTCATTAGAAAACGATTCATCGTGCGGTAACAAATCTTAAATCACCAGGGAAATTCATGGGAGTTTTGTACAGTTGTTTTGTCCTTATTAAGAGTCATCAATGGTGCACATCCGCCTGACTTCTACTGGGACATGAACTTGGGGTGATGGCTGTCCACCCAATGGGTAGCCACTCTTAGAAACCCACTGCGGGAAGGGTCGTATATCATTTAGTGTTGAAGTTAAACAAACCTTTCAAACCCAGCCCAAAAAGCCCGGCGATTAGCTGATTAACTCAAAATCGTTCGTCCCGGGGTTCGAGTCTCAGAGAGGGCCCGGTGAATACGCACTGTTGACGATTCGTAACGTCGATGAGACAGAGGTACAGTACTTTCATGGTTTTTATTAGTGAGCTAAACTTTACTGATGCACGATGAGTTATTTGATAATCATATCTAATTTTCTGCTGCTAAAATTAGAATTATTATGGTAATTGTGAAGAAGAGCTGGGAACTTGAATTATCTGACTCGCAGCAACGATATTTCTGAGCGAACACTGAGTTGTTAGTAAAGCTAAGCATTTTATAGTTCTCTAATTTGTATTAAACTCTCCAAAAGAGGAACCATGTCTCCCTAAAAGCAGCGGCCTCTTACAGACATCTTATCGACAAAGAGGAAAAATACTTCGAGCTCGAGTGGTAGTTCAGAAGCCCCGAAATCACTTCAGTTGCTTCACCTAAATAAGGCATTATTAAGGGTTTACGTTATTTATCGACTTCGGTACTGTTCACTATCAGTGTGTTGCACATCTAACAGACAACTACTTTAATCTGCTTTTTTATTCCAGGACCACTCACCCGATATTACTGGCAGACTTCTTCAAAGCTCTGTTATAAAACAGATAATGGAGAAAGTGATCTTCTTCAACTTGTACTACTTCACGCTTGTATCTCCTTCGTATCTTTGTAAAATGACAGTTTACTTTCTAAAACCGCTGATGATAGAATTCGCGGTCTGCCCATTCTTTTCGTTCTGTTGAGACCCCTTTCCAACAAATTCACCAAAACTCACTAAATGATCTTCCACCCCTTATCTAAAATTGAATCCTTCCGATTTTTCTGGTATTCTATTTTGTTTTCACAATGGCAATAATTTTTTCGATCTTCTTGTATCCTATCTAGATTGACTAATAGACGATAAGCGCAGTACTAGAATGTTACCTACCGAATGTCTTGGAGTTAGTATCAGCCACAATCTTTCCTGCTCCTACTATGTTGCCGCTGTTTCCCAAAACATTAAACGTTCAACTTTCAACGTGCCAAGATGGAAGTCTCTTTATTTACCATTTAATTTAGTTAGACGTTTTACTTTCGCTTGTGTCTTATCATGCTGGCTCTGTTTCTCCCGCTATTTTTCCAGGTTGACTTCCAAACTTTTTATCAGTTCTATCAAACATCTTACTCGAAGTAACGGGATTCATTATTCTCAGTGGAAGCGACACAATATCGAATCATCAACAAGCTTCTCAGAAGTTTTCTTCGAAGATACTCAGTGATCAACCACATCCGCTTTATCCGTATATTAGAAAGTTTTTTTCTACGCCCTCTGTTAGGTCCTGCTACGAACACTTACTTGCCCGCACTAAAACTGAAAAAGCACCTACCGTTCCCCATCTCGGCGTCTTCCATACCAACCCAAACACTGTTAAACAGGAATTGAAAAATCCAACAAACCGAACACTCTTTATGTTTGCGCGTAGCTTCCCCTCGTTATGCCCGCTTTTCAGGGGCTACGTAGTGGCTGAACATTCCTCTCCATTGCATTAGGCCATTACTTGATCTGACCATTTGCGACTAGAAAAATATACGCCGTCGGATAGATTCTAATCCTTGAGCTGTTTCGATGGACACTGACAGCTTCAGAACTCACGTGTTTTTCAACCATAATGCCTAGAAAAACCGAATGTGCATTCTTTTTTATTCTTATTGCTTGGTGGATATCCGCTAATGTGTCACTGCTACCGTAGTGACTGACTCACAAAAATCTACTCAGGTATTTTGACGTTGCTTTTTCATGGTATACGCTGAAGTAATGTGATTTGGCTAACTCAGAGAGCAATCAAAAATAATGGCTATTGTTTAGCTTGATTGCAGAAAACTCCGCAGCACACAATTCGCACTTACTGGATGGAATTTCTAAGGTTGTACAGCAGGAAATTACGTTTTGAAAGCGGCAGTAATTCATGAGATACGGAATTACGTTATCTAAATGATCAATACCCGGTTGTTAGAGTTTGGAAGCTTCAGTGAATGTACAATGTTGTTAAGCTGTACACCGTCCTGGAAGACGACGAAGGTCTAGCAAGCCAAGAGCTCGGATATACTGCCCCCTTACTAGTCAACTGATTATAAAATAGGTTTTGGTAACCTCTGAAACGATTCCCTGACTGACTGTAATGGATGAATAACCCGGTCGCTTTGTACACAGTTCCACTGGGCATTATTCTCTCATCTTCCTCCCTTGACTGTAATAGAAGAGACTCGCCCGTTTGCTGATGAAACTCATTGCAGCATCAGACGGAACTAGAAAACAGGACCCTGAAATTTGAAGTGACATAGCACGTTAAATCACAACGACAAAATCAGAAAAGCCTGTGTAAAACTTCATTTCGAATACTGTCACTCTCATTTGCAAGCAAGCTGATGGTGAACAAGGTTTCTCTTAGATTTCAAGGCCGCTGGAAATTCTGAAATGATAACAGTAATCCAATCATAAGTACAACACATTTCAGGCAGTTTTAATCACGCCTTATGCAGAATTACTTTTGACTCAGTACCAGTCTAGCTGCACTTGGAGCTGACCAAGTACGTAGACACTATCCGGTTCCACGGAGAATTCGGATCACCGGAATTCGCATAATATTACTCTGCAGAGCAGCCTCTTTTCCATCGGACTTATTAGAGTGTGATACACTACGATCTGACTTCCCAAAGATCATTTTTTACCACTACTAGGACGTTTATACACATGTGCGTATTGAACATTTATATAACTTCAAATTGATGGTTTTAAACAGCAATCGGTAATTGTCTGGTGGTTTGCTTGGAAATTCGATTAGTCGATAACGTCCAACGTGTACCAATCGACCTTTTTCAATGACGCCGACAGTTAACACCTCTGACAGCGGGCACGTGACGTTTTGCGCTGTTCATTCACGTGATCTAGGTGGTTGATTTTGTGTGAAAATACTTTCGCTTATGTTGACGGTAGATTCCTACAAAAAGTTCACTGAAATTTTCAGAAAACATAACAACACTAGGGGGTGGATGGGATGGTTTGTCGTAAAAAGTAGACCCTGCCAGTGACCGCTTTCTGCTTCTCTTAAAGAATAAGATGTACTCCTGGTCTGCCTTACATTCTATCAGGCAAACCAAACAAGTCAAAATCCACCTTCAACATGTTTCGAGTGGCAAGATCTCTATCCTGCAAAATTTCATTTTTCTACGAATCCTGACTTTCATTCGAACTGCCAGTGAGTAGCACTGTCAAATTTTTCGTAGAGAAGGATAACTCAGTTTTAACACTTGCTACCCTTAAAAAATCTCTTCCTCTGTACTGACTGTGTTACCTCTGGTAAAATCGTTGGAAAAACAGATGGATTGTTTCTGCAAAGCCTGGGACAATTCAAATTCGTTTTCCTAAATGCTAGTCAACTCCTTTGCGGTTACGCTAATAACACCTTATGGCCGAGTATTCGACTCCTTTGGGAAAGAAAAACAAAAAAGTACAACATGTTGTTGTGGCCCTCCGATTTCACTTATCTCTAAAGACAACGTGCAAATAATCCCATACTTCCGAAAAAGTGTCTAAGCTCAATAAAGTGCGTGTGTGTTCTTCTAGGACGAGTCAACTGAAAAACCACAAATTCTTTCTTCCGCAGTTCTTCTCAGGTTAGTCGCAGCTACCCTCTAGAATGATGGCACTGCGATCGTGAGGTGAAAGTTGACCGAGAGCGCTATCCTAAGCCAATTGAGTTCCTCTTTTGCTGTTCCAAATGACCCCCATCAGTTTGCGTACAAACCCACCAGATACACTCCGGATGCAGTTGCTTCAGTTTGTCATTTCATTTCAAACAACTTAAATCATCCCGTAAATTCCGCCCAACGTATTTTCCTCTACTATTCTTCTGCATTCTATTAGGTTCCCTTTTTCCCTACTCTTTCGAAGGTTAGAGTCCTTTGATTGTCCCACTTCCTTACTCTCGTGGCTGGGATACTACTTTTCCAGTAGAACTCAACGTACTAGAGTTGGTACAAGTTTATCGGGTCTTTTGATTAACAACTTCAGTGTTCTTCAGAGCGCCGTTCTTTCCTCCTTTCTCCT